TTTGAAAAGGGGGGGGGGGGGGTCAATTTACATATTTTGATTGTTATGTCTTCTTCATGGATCAATCCTTTTATCATTATGTAGTGGCCCTCTTTATCTCTTTTTATGCTTTTTAGTTTAAAGTCTATTTTACCAGATATAAGAAAAGCTACTCCAGCTAGTTTTTCATTTCTATTTACATGGTATATCTTTTTCCATCCTTCCACTCTTAGTGTAGGTGTCTTTATAGGTGAGGTGGGTCTCTTGAAGGCAGCATATAGTTGGGTCCACCTTTTATTTATTTATTTTTTTTATTTTTATTTTTATTTTTTTGTCTTTTTCCGTGTCCGGCAATGGATCGCAACCCTCAGTGTCGCCCCCGCACCGGACCGGGACCGGCAACGGGATCGCAACCCTCGGTGTCGCTCCCGCGCCTCACTCAGCCAGTGAGCGGGAACTGGTCTGCATGCGGGATCCGAACCCTTGGTGGGAGCGCCGCCGCTGCTACAGTGCGCCACCGGGCCGGCCCCAGAATAGATTTTGATAGTTGGAAATGGAGTGCTGTAGTAAGAGAAATCTAAAACATGTGTCATTAACATTGTGACCAGGCAGCAGGTAGAAGCTGGAAGAGCCTCAAAGCAAGTGATTGTGAAAGCCTAAAGGGCCAAGGAGAGGATTCGTGGAAGCCAAAAGAGCTATGAGAAAGCTGGTGGTGAAGACTTAAAGGAAAGGAAATGTAACTGGAAGCTGAAAGCAAGGACTCTTTTCTCTGTGCAGCCTTTTTCTTCCATGTGATTATTTACTCAAGGCAAAAATCAAAGACTCGCTAACTCTCTCTCTATGCACATGCAAAGAAGAAGTCCTTCTACAAGCCAGGAAGAAAGCCCTCAGCAGAACCAGACCATGCTGGCACTCTCAAATTTCCAGCCTCCAGTACAGTGTGGTAATAAAAATGATTCAGTTTCCACCTGGCTCTTTGGGAACACTTGCTCTCAGCACCCAGCCAGTAGTCAAGAGGCAACACGAGCAGTCCATGGAGAGGAAAGGAGACCTCCCAGCCTATCATCTTAGCCAAGTTCTCAGTTTACAGCCAACACCAATTTGCTAGCCATGTGAATGAGCCATCTAAAAAGTAGTCCTCTATTCACCTTCTGAGCAGCCCCATTTATACGATGTGGCACAGACAAGCCATCCCTGACAAATGAACCCTGCCCAGCTTGCTTACTTGTGAGCAAAATTAATGACTGATGTCAATATGTCTTTGGGTGGCTTGTTAATAGCAATAAATAACTGATACAGGCATCACCTCTTATATAAAGTCTTCCTCAAGCTTCCAAATGAAGTTAAATTTTCTCCTTTCTGCTCCCAAAGAACTCTTTGTGAAACATTATTTTAGCACTTATTATACCCTATTGAACTTTACTGTTCACTTGTCTGCCTCACTATGAGCTTAAGGGTGAGGCCACGTGTTTTTGGAAAATTAGCTCCTCGAATATAGTACTTTTGTACCATTCTCACTCTCCTTTTCTTCTGAAACTTTGATTAGACATGTGTATTTCGGAAGGATAGCCTTGTGGGGTAAAGTATCCTTGGCTGGCAATTTTTGTCCTTTAATATTTTGAATATATCATCCCATTTCTTTGTGGCTTTTAGGGTTTGTGATGAAAAGTCTGATGTTAGTCTAATTGGGGCTCCCTTATAGATGACTTGACACTTCTCTCTTGCAGCTTTTAAGATTCTCTCTTTGTCTTTGAGTTTTGCCAGTTTGACTGTAACATGTCTTGGAGAAGACCTTTTTGGGCTGAATATGTTTGGGGATCTTTGAGCTTCCTGAATCTGAAGATCTGTGACTTTTCCTATACCTGGGAAGTTTTCTACCACTATTTTGTTGCATATGTTTTCAATGCAATCTCCTTTTTCCTCCCCTTCTGAATACCCATGACTCAGATATTTGAGTGCTTAAGGTTGTCTGGTATCTCTCTTAGATTTTCTTCAATGTTTTTAATTATTTTTTCTTGTCTACCTGTGCTATTTCAAACAGCCCATCTTCAAGGTCAGCAGTTCTCTCTTCTGCTTCTGCAAGTCTGCTGGTTAAACTCTCTGTTGTGTTTTTTCTTTCATTGAATGAATGCTTCAGTTCAGCAAGCTCTGCTACATTCTTTTTCAGGGCATTGATTTCCTTGTACATTTCTNTTCCTTGTCAGACATTTCAAGGGCTTCTTGTTCTATAGGGTCTAGAGCTTGAGAGTTATTATTACCCTTTGGTGGTGTACTTTCTTGACTTTTCATATTTCTGGTATCTTTCCTTTGGTGTTAAGTCATTGTGGTGAGGGATTTCACAGTCCACTCGTTTGACACTATTGCCTGGATAGGATCCTGCCGGGACTGCCAATTTGGCACAGCTGCCTCAGTGCCTGTGGGCAGAGGATTCGGGCCTCTCTGAGCCATGGGGATTGGACTGGGCTGGGAGTCCAGCAGCAGTGCCTACCTGTTCCCACGTGGGCTCCTCGGGGCACGTGGTTGCTGTGGCTCTCCGGCCTCTTCAGGGGCGCCTCTCTGGTAGGTGCACACTCACCTGGGCTGGGGGTGGGGTCCGGCAGCCACAGGCCTACCTGCTCGGTCACGCTTTTGCCTCGGGGCATGTGGTCACAGCAGGTCTCAGGCCTTTCCCCAATTTACATATTTTGAGAATTTAAAGTCCAAGACAGAAATGTGAACTGAGAAGTGGTATGCAAATGCTATTGCTGGAATTTTTGAACCCAAAACAAGGGGCAAATAAATATTATAAATATTATTAGCTACCAAAAAATCCTAGGGGCATATTTATTTGCACAAGTGCTAACCCTAAACACACAG